GAGGTATAGCAGCAGAGTCTTTAGTCTGGGGAATTCAAATCGTTATGTTTATGTGCAATCAGATAACTCAGTGTACCAGATTTTATTCAAATTCAACTGGCAAATGGCTTTTTGAGTGTCTAAAAATTTTAAAGGGTTGGGTGCTTTCCCATCAGGGAAATTTCTTGTTTTTAATGTCAGCTACAGATTAGGAATGCATTCTGTCTCTCAACTAGAGAATGTTTGCACTTTCACTCTTACTAATGTTCTCCTTCACTGTTATTTATTTCTAAAACTGATTCTGCATCACAGCACTCTGGACTTATGAAGAGTGTTTAGGTTAAAATGGTTGCTCGTCACCATGGTCAGTTGTAAAACTAAAAATGAATTGAGTGTTCCAACACCATTTTTATACCGGAAGTTCCACCTGAAGTGATTTAACTTGGTTTCTCTGGGTCATATAGAACTTCTCATTGAATTCAGCTGGCACTAGATCCTGAACATGTACAAAGCTGCTAGACACTCGTCACGTTCATGCTTCTGAACATGTGAAGCGTTTGCACGGCTGGAATAGACTCTTTGGGTGGGGAAGAAAAATTGATGAAATAAAAATTGGGATTATTTCATTGAATTGTTTTCAGGTTGAATTTCTTGGAATGTAAGGAACCCGGAAGTGCAAACAAAGAACTTGATTTTGCTTTTGCAGTGCTTCACACGCAGAATGATTCCCTTTATGCCAGAGCTACGTTTAAGATATTAGTTTGGTTTTTAATAAATCCTCACAAGAAGGCAATTTTGACAAGGGTGGAGCTCATCAATTCCTGAAGCTTTAATTGTATCTGGATATTGATCATTGAAAAAAGAGGATAAACTACAGCTCGAGGTTCAGCATTCATTGTGATACCAGATGACACTGTCATAATGGAAGTAGAGACCCAACACAATGATTGTTCTTGCAGAGTTTGCGCAGGGATTTACTGCTGCCATTTGCTCATCTCAGTACTGACCTGTTTTTTGTCACTATGGGAAGCCTCTGCCATGATGAACTCTTGAAGTGCTCCTTACCATTGCTTTAGATCGATGATAAAAAAATGAAATCCGAAGATTGGCAGAGTGGAAATGCAACTCATGAATGATAAAAATCACACACGTGTACATGTACATGTACGTGTGATAACATGGAATCCATGCAACTGTATGCAGTGTGCTGAACTACCAGGCCTGTTTACCGACAAAAGCATGTTACAGAAAACCTGTTATTTAACTCTGAGTCAACTGAATTGGTTAAAACTGGAAGTATTTGCAAAAAATGGGAAGCATTCTAGCTAAAACCACGAACACTTCTCTCAGTGTTGAAACCGTTTTGGTGAAGAACTAAACACAGCCTCTGAGGTGTTTAAATTCACTTCTATAGCAGTAACATAAAACCAAGGAAATTGCATCAAATTATTTAGCTGAACTAATGCTTTAAGCAAATTTAAAAATGGGGTCTGAATGTACACTATTTGGACCAAGTGTTGATATAAATGCAGAGCTTTGACAGGTATTTCCTGTGGTTATCAATTTGGATTTTTTTCCCTTTTCTCCAGGAGGTGTGGTTGACACCATTCCCCCAGTGGTCAGCGGCTGTCCCACTGCAGGTGTGCCTGTAACAGCCCCTGCCGGTGCTACCTCAGCAGTTGCCAGTTGGGTAGAGCCGACGGCAGTTGACAATTCTGGAGGAACTGTGACAGTCACGTCCAACCGCTCACCAGACCAAAGCTTCCCGCTTGGAACGACACAAGTGACGTACACCTTCACTGATCCATCTCAGAACACTGCAACGTGCACCTTCACTGTCACTGTGACAGGTGAGTGTGTTATACAGTTGATCCCCTAACATGGCGCACTTCAACTTACACTTGACTTTCCTCCTACTTTTTTTGCCAAACCGCTCGTTGAAAACCTGACATCCTTTTTGTTTAAGGACTAGTGCTACAATCTTCATATTGCACGCTGTTGAATTTTTGTAAACAAAGATACAGCTGAGTGTTTCCTAATGGGGTGCACTTGAAAAAAATCTCAGAACATCCCAGATATACATTTAAGGTGGTAAATTCCACACACTGTTATCACCTCTTGCACAACTAACCACACGTGTGCTGGAAAATTATTTTCAAAGATTTGGGCACTTGTTAAAAGAGTTCATGATGTGCTTCAGAAAAAAAAAAACCTGAAAACCGAGCCAAAACAAAATGTCATGAGAACTTTGTAGTGGGTGAGTTAAAATTGAGGTTAGGAATTTGATGACATTTCACTTAAAAAATGAAATTTAAGGTAAAAATGTTAAGCTCTGTCAAGGCACCAAAGGCGAAAAATCAAAATGTGCCATATCAGAGAGCATATCAGAGAGTATTCCACCAATACAGTAAGTTTGGCAATTTGTGATTTGAGGATACTGGGCAAGTAGGTGGTTGTTTCTTATTAAGACTGCGATAAAAGTTGTTCTGAGAATATCAGTCTCAAAAGAGGTTTAAAAAATGTCCCTACAGTTCCATATCTTCATGTCATTACACATACTCAGTAACCTCAGACATCATTACATAAACTCCACAACCTTACACTTTTGCTTAAAATACTTGTTTGCATCAGTGTACGGACTATAACATGCCCATTGTTTGTTACTTGATTTCAGTGTTCACCGGTCAAGATACAGAACCTCCTGTCATTAATGGCTGTCCAACNTAACATTGTTGTTGGACCCGATCCTGGACAAAACTTTGCCACTGTAACTTGGACAGCACCCACAGCAGTAGATAACAGTGGAGTTGCTCCAACTGTACTAAATGATTTCAATCCTGGAGACAGATTTAATATCAACAGTGTCACCCAAGTCACTTACACCTTCTATGATGCACGCTTCAATTTTGCCCAGTGTATATTCACGGTCAGCGTCACAGGTATGGAAACAAGATTGAGTTTTCGTCTTATATCAAGTGGTTTCTCATGTGGCCATTTAAGAATTATTGCTTGTTATGAAAAGGCAGCTCACAAATTGTACAATTTTTGTTTCCACCCAAATCTGAACAGATGGTAGTGGAGGTGATATGACACCCCCAGTAGTCAGTGGTTGCCCAGATCCATTGACAGTATCCGCTGCATCTGGTGCTACATCAGCAGTGGTATCTTGGACTGAACCTACAGCAACAGACAATTCTGGAGGAACTGTCACCCGGACATCCAACCGTTCACCAGGCCAAAGCTTCCCAATTGGAATGACCACGGTTCAGTACACCTTCACTGATCCATCTGGCAATCAGGCCACTTGTATCTTCATGGTCATAGTTCAAGGTAAGACACATTAAAGGAATATTTCTGGTTGACTAAGCATGCCGAAGTAAAAGTTTGGGACCAGTTGCATAAGTTGTCTTTTTCAACAAATGCATTTATAACATTCAATGCGCATGCAGAATGGTTCACTCAAAATAGAGAAACCACCACAAGATTCATAGAATCAGCGTAGAATTTTAACGTTTCAACTTCATACAGATGTGTAATACGAGATTATAGACTTGTTTAACAAACACTTCCAAAAAATTCTTCCTCTGTTCACTTAAGTTTATGTGTTAGAGCAGCTGACAATTTAATGACATTTCATGACAGTTGTCAATGGCTTTTAGACAGCCAACATAGAGCAAAACCTGCAAATTAGTTGTCTAATATTTTGACAGAGGAAAAAAAACGAGGAATATAGCCTTGCACATCTTTGAATGGAATTTTTGTTGACAGTCAGTGGCGATAGGACGCCCCCAGTTGTCAGTGGTTGTCCCACTGTGGGGCTGACAGTAAGAGTTCCGATGGGTTCAACTACCGGTCAAGTGACCTGGACGGAGCCAACAGCCACCGACAGTTCAGGAGGAATGGTGACGGTCGTGTCCAACTACTCACCAGGCCAAAGCTTTCCCACTGGAATCACACAAGTGACGTACACCTTCACTGATCCATCTCAGAACAGTGCAACCTGCACCTTCACTGTCAACGTCATAGGTAAGGTTTTCTATCTGGTGAAAGTGTACCCTTGTTTTTAAATGCACGCAAAGAACATAAGAACATACTTATCGGGTGTTTTCTGGGATATCGGAACGAATGGAAAGAAAGCAACAGAGGATATGTTTTACTTAACATATATATCAAAAAGAGATTATTCAATCTATTTATTCATCAGGTGGGTGAATGACATTTCACTTGCAGATTTGAACAAGGGATTAAAAGTAATAAGGCAGCTTTAGACTCTTATGCTTGCAATGAAATAGGGGCCTTAGATGACAGTGGACCAAGCTTAAAGCTTGTGGTAGGTTTAGACTGAACCCAGCACACTTTTGTTCCCATTCCTGAACACCTTTTTGGGGTGGAAAGATTGAAATAAGTTGACAAATTTATATTTTGCCCAAAGATTTTAACAGGTTGTTCAATTTAACCTTGTGGTTCGCAAGACAATCCCCAAGCCATATCTATGGCCGGTGCTTAGCATGCGCGCAACAAAACTACTCTCTTCGTTTGGAAATGGGGTTGCGTGATGTTGCGTGCTGTGTTGTAGAATGTAGTAGAGCAGGTGTAGAGGGAACGTCCAGCTGCGAAAAGCGGACTCCTTGGTAACGTGAAGACGATTGTCATAGATGAGGTTAGAGTCCATGAGATAGACGTCAAATATCATATGAAATGGGAATAGTGTTTCAAACCAGGGCCCAATTTCACAGAGCTGCTTAACAGTTTGCAGAAGTGTCATGCTAATTTTGGCAGAAAAATTTGCTAACTTTGAGCCCGCAGCGTATCCAGCTTTTGGTGTTGGGGAGGGGGCAAACTCATACACAGATGCAACTGCGGGCTCATTCAACGTGATGTTGGGGAGAAAAAATAAAATGATGCTGTTTTCTTGTTTTTTCTTGGCTAATATTTGATGAATAAATATATAGATTACTTTCTTTCCTACTCACCTCTGAAGTATTATTTGTAAAAAGAAAAAAAAATCCAGGGAGGGGGTCAGTTGCCCCCCTGTCCACCCCGCTGGGTACGCCACTACCTTGAGCACTGGTCATGGTAGTGCCTGGCGTGGTTGGGCTAATGGTTGTGCGCACATAGAGATATCTATTGTCACATCACCAAGTTTAAGCAAACTTTTCCCTCCAAGGTTAGCATGCCTTTTGCTCTGCCTACTGCTTACTGTCTCCATGAAATACATGGAGCGTCTGTTGGCGTGAAATTGTGTGCTAAGCAGCCCTGTGAAATTAGGCCCAGTCGGTATGTTTATCATTGGATAAAAAGTACTGGCTCAGTCGGGGAGAAAAGCAACTAAGGTATGCATGAATATATTTGGACAGCTCTGGAAAGGAAAGGTTCACAGATACGCAATGAACTTTATTCTTTCAGGTTTATTTCTATACTTCTAAATAATACAGAAGTTAACAAAACAAACTTATAATAGTATGGGGGAGGTCAGATAAAAAGCTGAAGCTTGCACTGGGTCTGCCCCCCGTAAGGAGAATGTATAATGTGTTTTCATAATTCTCTGGACAAAATGTGATACAGAAGTGTCAAGTTCTTCATCACTTAAGTTAAGTTTGATATGTTAATATGTAGGGAATAACCATCCTAATTCCTAGTTTACAACTATAGTTATAACTTTGTCTGACATTATCGCAGTAATATTATTTCATAAATTGTCATTGTCATTAACCGCCACATTGAATAGAAGTTTTTATAATACCTTTTATAAGTTGCAGTTGACTTCTTGTTCTGATTTTGTTACAAAGGATTGGTCCCAGTAGCTCATAGTTGAGGGGTGCAGAGATGTTCTAAATTTGAGATGAAACTTACTTGGTGGCCTAGTGTTATAATTGTGAATATCAGGGAGGAATGTCGCGAATACTTGTTCTTTTTGGCCTTGCCAACCAGACCCAATCACTTATTATTTCGATGTTTGGTGCACATTTCAACAGTTGATGAGCGCCCTCCTGTCATCAGCGGCTGTCCTGGAGTGGCCTCTGGGGTTGCCCAAGGCGGCTCTAGCACCGGTACCGCCACCTGGACCGAGCCGACGGCTGCCGACGATGACAACCTGCCGGTGCGAGTGGCCCGAACCCACGCTCCCGGCAGCAGCTTCCTGGTCGGCATCACCACTGTCCGTTACATATTCACAGATTCGGCTGGAAACCAGGCCATCTGCACAATAACTGTCACCATCACACAAGACGGTATGGCACTGACACACAATAGGAGTCATCATCACTAGTGTTAAAAGCAGTCATTGATAAATTTGTTGGGTGTTGACGGGAATGGTTTCTTTCCTTCACCATGCTGGGTGGTAACAGTGTATGTCACAGAAAAAGAATTGCATCTCGCATCTAGGCACACTACTTGTGTTTAACATGAGTACATTTCAGAGACCGTAAACAGAAGGAGCACAACCCGTGTTTGAGTGAGAGCATACCGTTGATTGTTCTCAAGATGTGATCTGAGAAAAATATGCACACAACAGCCTCCTGCGCGTAATTAGGTTCTGAGTCAGAAAGTCCAATCAGGTCTAAAGATTACAAATTTCCAAAGGTTTGGTTCAGTGATGTTACTTAATCTTAAAAAAAAAGGAAACAAAATACCCCTATGGTAAAGTTATGGTACGTTCCTATCGTGAGCAGTTGTAAACAATCTCCTGATGTAGAGAATGGCATGGGCATGGCACATGGCCGGCCGGTTCTTTATCAACAATTTATGACTGGTTCCTGACCAAAAGGAATGGCTTTGTTGTCCAAGTATTTAGGAATTGGTAATAAATCTGAGGGTGGTAGTTCAGATGCTTCCTCCCTTCTGTCAAGGACTTGAACCCTCATCACAACAGTCCATGATAAAGGCAACTCTTGTTGGTGCCATATCGGACATTTATGATTACGCTTTCCCAGAATTCAGTGCTAACATATCGGTAAAGAAAAGAGTTGCAGTAGTCATTTCTTGAGTCTGAAACCCAGACTTTTTGAACATGAGCACGTAAATCTTCTTAATCATCATGATAACCGATTCATCTCTTTCATTTTGCACTCAGTCGGGGATGTCACCCCTCCAACCATCACCTGCCCTGCAGACGTAGTGGGTTATGTCAGGTTCATTCAGCAGACCCTTCCGGTGTCCTGGTCCGCTCCGCAAGCTGTGGATAACAGTGGCATCCCACCCGTGATCACCTCCAACCCCTTCTATCCCAGCCCTTCGGGAGTCTTTGATTTTGGCGTATATTCTATCGTCTACACAGCCAGAGATGAATCTGGGAATGCGGCTTCCTGCACATTAACCATCACAATTGTCCGTTAGTACTTTTTTGGAGTTTGCCACCAAGAGAGTTTGTAAAACTGTAGAGAGTAGAGGAAATTTCCATTTGAGCATGCTGTTTTTTCTGTTTTCACATATCCTACAATTATTTTGTTGAGTCAAGTGTGGTCCAAACGCAGCTGCTTTTGGTCGGCAAAACACAGTCGGAAACTGTCACACCTCTGACGGTAACTTTCTGGGGAATTTTAACTCCTAAACAAACTTTGGGGGAACAGTTTTGAAAAAATTTATGTTCAAATTGAAGTTGCTCGTGGAAGGGGATGGACAGGAGAGTCATTGCTTGTATTAACATATTTTATACATGGAAGTACAATACGGCAAGTTCGTTGCGAGCTCTTCGATGTCTCAAAGGTGCATTGTACATGTAGGTACATGTGTGTACATGTTCGAACCTGAACTGAACTGAAGTTCGGCACAAAATTTCTGAACCGTTTCCGAACTGTACCCAAACTGAACCTGAGCGCCTACTTGCAGCACTAGTAAAAAGTACATTTCATTGAAATAAGATCCACCCCGGTCAAAAATGCACTGAGAATGAATACGCTCCCCAAAGACCTCACGCATACGTGTGGTTGAAACATTCCGTGCAGGTTTTACTGATTGTAGTTTCATCACAGTAGTTCCTAATTTCTTATGTAATTTGCGTAAATTTGTTAGGGGGCGGCATTTAAATGTATCATTTCCTATTTTACTGAGGTAAGTGGATAAGATCCTACAGCCTGTACATTTGGTTTATCATCTCTGCAGTGGACACCGAAGCTCCCACCATCTCTGGTTGCCCAACACAAAGGACGGCAACTTTATCACAGAGTAGCACCAGTGTGGCAGTCATCTGGACAGAGCCGGTCGCCATGGACAACATCGGCATAGCCAACACCCAGAGCAGTCATCGGCCCGGAGAAAGCTTCAGTGCCGGAGTGACCGAAGTCCTCTACACCTTCTTCGACCGTGCCGGCAATACAGCCAACTGCAGCTTTAACGTCGTTGTCCAAGGTTTGGAAGTTTGCTGCCTTTCAGCTGACAGTACTGGCATGATTCAAAGTGAACTCCACGTTGCTTATGGTGTGGTCGAAAGGAGGCATCAATAGAATAACAAGATCGGAAAAAAAGAGTTCCACATTTATCTGGATGTCAAGGTCCATCCAGATTTCCTTTTTCCCTCCGCTTGTCCTGATTAGGTTAAATTCTACGTCCCTTGCTGCGGTTTGACCCTCTTGTGTAGCCTACTCATTTGTGAGAACTCTCCTTGTTTTGGAAAATATGGCAAATGCTGCACACTAATGGGAGAAGTTGGGGGTGGTCCCTGTTGATTTAGATGTCACAATAACGACAATACACAGCCCACTGTTCTGTGACAGCCGTTTGGTATAAAACACAGCATAGCTTTTTCTCCACTGCAGAGGGGCCACCAGGGAATTCTGGGAGGGGGGGCACTGTTGCCGGATTCCTCTTTTTACCCAATTCAGCCCCGTACTACTTGGCCCGAGCAGAACGGTTTCATCATATTTCCCTCCCCCCCATTTTCTCCACAGCTGACACTACTATCAATCCCTGCTCCAGTAACCCTTGCCCTGCATCAGCCCCCTTCTGCTTCTACACGGCCTCTGAATACCTTTGTCGAAGTAAGCATTGATTTTGATAACGGTAGGCTGAGCGCTTTTCTCGTTTGACAAGGGTGATGTTTAGTGGAGAGATTCAAATTGCGTTATGGGAAGCACTCTGGCTAAAATAAATAAATTTTGCTTGTTTGTTCTTTTTCTCCGAAGCATAAATTAAAAAAATGTTGATTAAACACTGACATTAATTGGTGATTCAGCTATTAAGTTCCTTGAATTCAGACAGAGTATTTATTTAAGCTTTTCAAGAGTATAATATGCAAGCAAACTGCAGAAGATTTGAGGTCCGTGGGAGAACTTTTACAACCTACAATTACTACAGAAGCAAAATTGGAACCTTTTTTCTTTGCCTTTTGCATATGTTGTGTCACTTGTTTCATTCAGCTTTGTGGGTGCATTTCATAACGGTAATGGTGTATTGCAATTCTATCTTGACTTGTTTCTATAGCCACGCCAGGTCGAAGAAAGAGGGACATTAATGACGGTAAGCTTCACTGGTCAGTTCAGTGTTTGTCTCACAATTTGCGAGCAAAACTTTACGTCACTGTGCCGAATTATCCCCCGTCTGAAGTACTGACACAATGAAAATCCTCAAGAAACATTCAATGGTAGTGGCTGAACTTTCAGGGAAAGAAATGTTGATGGCGTATCATAAAATAAATACATGGTAAAAAAAAAGGAATGAGCCCGTATGGTCTTCCTACAGTGCATAGCCAAAATGAAGCTCGTCCAAGGTCATTTGGGAAGAACAATGACTTGTTAATCATTATTGTTAAATTGGCTTTTCAGAGAAATTGTACACTGTCCAATGGGAAGAAGTGAAGTCCCACTCAAGTGGCGCTGCAAAGTGTTTTTAATAACTTTGGACCCCTCCAAAAATGTGATGCTTCTATAGGCAAACCTTTCTGCGCAAAATGTATGCCACACGGATCTCCAAATATCTGATAACTGGTTGACTGGAATGTGATACAATATGAACGATTCACAAAAGTGCGCCACCAAGAGTTTGCAACGCATTGGCCAATCAGAACGCGCGAAATTTGTCGACCCTTTCCAAACGCGCAATGGGTCAACAAATTCTGCGCATTGTGATTGGCCAACGCATTACAAACTCTTGGTGGCGCACTATTGTGAAATGACCATATCAGCTGTGTACTATGGCAGTCCCATGAAGAGATCTATGAAAGCCTGCTTTATTCTGCTGTGTTTAATTACACCCTCGTCTGTGGTAGAAACACAAGGGCCGCTCTGATGTCATTCAAATTGTGCTGCTGGCTCCAGTGGATTGTGCAAAATTAGCGTATTCCTGTGCTTGATGTGCACGAAAGAGCGCATGTATGCGGTGCGATGCAATCACTCCAAGACGGATCATTGATTTGGAAACGTCTCCCTCTCTTGGATGGACTGGGGCCCTAGATCAGTGAGCGCTTCCGAACTGGGGGAAACGAGTGTGCTGTTATCGAGCGTAACATTATTACACCATTGTCGCAGATCACGGTCCGTGCGAGCATGGAGGGGTACTGGTTGAGGTCAGCACAGATCCCCCTAGTTTCCACTGTGCCTGCCCGAATGGATACTCCGGTATACTGTGTGAGGACAGGGGTGAGTTCGAGAAAAAAAAAGGTCCCTCATTCAGACCATGAAAAGGGATTTACGAGGATGGAATATTTCATGCTGACCAAAAGTTGACCGAATCCACTGTACAGGAATTCGGGGCTTGTGTGTTGGTGCACTTTGCAGAAGAGAAACTTTGAAGCTTCTGAAAAAACCTGAAAAGAAGTTTAGTTTTCTTTTACCTCGCCTTAAGATTTACTCGTAACCTTTTCGTTGACAGGTGCCATGTCTTAAAAAACATTTTCTTAAATTGACTAATCCTCAGTAAATTGGCTTTTGTGTCAATACTAAATTTCCAGTTGATCACTGTCGTGTGATTCCCAGAACCCTGTACTCAGTTTTTTATTTTCCGTGGTTTACTTTCATCAGAGGAGACCGTCTGTGAGCCTAACCCCTGTGCCAACAATGGAACCTGCCATCCAACAAGTTCCAGTGCGATCGGTTATGAATGTGACTGTCAGGGAGGCTGGACCGGACAGCTCTGCGGAGGTAAGTGTGCTCATTCACAGAGCAAAATTCACTGGATTGTAGATCACGGATGAACCGAAGAGCCTGGACTCCAGTCTACCTCATGAAATATCAAGGAAAATGTCTCTGCAGTAGAAATGATTGTAACACCAGTTTTGTAAGGAGGACCCAATTTCAAAGTGATGCTGAGCTGAAAATAGTGCTCGGCACATATATACATTAACCCTAACCGCCAAGCATATTGTTTGGCTTACAGCACTCAGTACTACAAAATACTAAGTAGTAGCCTGAGCCTGAAGGACCTAGCGCTACAGATTACTACTTCTGGCTAGGTGCCTTCCATTGTTACTCGTACAGAGAACAATAAAGCCATGCATTCATAGTGCCACAGCACTGTATGGTACATTGTCCTGTCCATTGTATTTTATGGCTTCAGAGAACAATATGGTCTTGTCCTCTTACAAGCAACAGGACTGATTACTACATTTTACGACAAGTAGTAATTTGTACTATTGTATAGGGTTAGGGCTAAGCAAAAGTCTACTGAGAGCCCGTCAGAAGAGATGTACAATGTTTAGCATTTTTTTTGTCTTTTAGCTGGTGATCTGTTTTTGCAGAGCAAGTGTATTCATCACTCAGCACATTACTTGCTTGAACCAGGTGGATGAAGTTGGACTGCGCACATTGTCTCAAATAGTTCTTGAAGGGTTGTGTCGAAGTTAGAGTCGGCCCCAAAAGATTTAAATGTAGAATTCTTTTAAGCACCTTTTGTCCTGAATTTATTTCATGTCGCCCTCATGGACTAAAGCAGTTACACTTTTTGATGAGATCTTCAGGATTCAGTATTTGCACAGATGCATTTGTAGTCGTACTTATCTCCAGTACCGTAACGGATATGAGCCACTATGTTTAATTCCCCCGAGCCGCCCTCATCTGAACCTCAACCCTCCCCCCACCTCCTCCCCGCATGTGCAAATGGGTTTCTGATCGTCCGTTTGTTGATCACCACAGACAGGAGTTGGGAAAGTGAAGCCAACAGTTTGAAAGAGTTCTCCACCGAGCACTCTACCCTGACCTGGATCATGATGTCCGTGGCGGGAGTCCTGCTGACCCTTGCCGTCATCCTGGCTGCCATGTTCTGTCGGCTGGCCCCACGCCTGGCCAACTCCAAGCTCCGCAGTGATGAAGTTGCCATCGTTCATTGATGAGACAACTGACGGAAGGGAGCGGCACACCAATCTATTTGTTCACAACAATCTGATTGTGGAGTTACTTCAATTTTTTTTAAGTCAGTACTGTTTTTAAATGAGATTTTTCATTGAAACTACACACTGCACAAATTTAGAGTGGTGAATGCTTGATAAATATATATATTTGGTAGTTTGTTAGAAGTGTTTATGCTGAAAAATAATAAGAATATGAAATAAGTGTTTTATGATTTGCTGGTGTATCATTCATTGACGCAAGCCATGCTATCCCCTCTGCTCCTCTTTAATCCCATTTTAAACAGTTATCTGAGGCTGCATGCATGCCAAAAGGCAATCGATTAAACATTGCATCAGGCCGCAGAGAGTAATTTGTTACGTTACCACATTCCAATAGACAGGGACGTGGTATTGTCATCGCAGACACAGGCCAACATTGTTTCTCATACTCTGTTATTGGTGCAGAATCCCACCGTTGGACCTTCTTTCTAAGCCGGAATCACCAGTGTGATGGGCTTTATTTTTTATCCCCAACCAAACTGCACTTCAAGAAGTGAGAGGCTCTGAACATTTTGATTTCCTACTGGTAGTAACAGGAGCATTTTTTTAAAGGTGATTTTGACATTTTTTTTAGGGGGGAGGGAGTGTATCAGTCTTCTCTTGCCAAGTTTTCAAATACCCAGATATCAATATCAATTCGCAGCAAATGTTTAGTCAGCTTAAAATGCATGTGAAAAGCTAATTGGTGAATGCCCATTGTTTATGCCCTGTAGTCATCAGGCATTCCATAGAGAAAATAATTTTGGATAATCAATGTTTGATATCACTAGTCTCATCAGTAATTTGTGTTCGTACAACTCCATTAATGGTGGCTATTTTAATTTTAGTTATAGTGGATGTAAAATTCCGAGATTTTAGCACTCTTGCTACTTTGAAATTTGCTCCTAGATCAATAGTAATTAGATCTATGAATGAAGCTTTAATGTTACTTTTTTTTTGGATAATTTACGAATATAACAACTCCAGAGCTTTATATGATACACATATGGACTGGCCATGAGGTCACTAGAGCATGCCTTTGTGCCCTGAGGGACTGTGAGTGACCAGAAGGTCCCATTTCTTGCAGTCAAAGGCCAAAGGAATGAAGAGCCTCTTCTGGTCACTCACAAAAGGTAAAATAAGAAGGGAAACTTTCCAGGGTTTTAAAATAGTTAACCGAACTCTTTACATGCAGCCATTAACTAGAATGATAGCGCTTTTAGTATCCCTAGCTCCAGTGTTTGAGTCGCTGCCTACTGCTCTAATATGCGAGGAATGGTGCTGTAATCTGTCATGAAGTTTTTGTGTTGTGCCCAAGCCGGCTCTATACTATGGAAATTGTGTGCTATGTCTTGGCACGCGACCAGGTCACGTTTTTCAGTAGCCTATATTAGCGAATCCCTCCTGAGCTTGTTTCAGCTAACCAGGATTAAGAAACCAGCAATTTAGAAGCATCATAAATATGTTTAATGCGCGTCGTTCAAGATACGAAATCTGGGCAATACAACTAACCTCAAAGCTTTAGTCCGTGAAAAAAGTCAGCACCCATTTTTTAAGTTGCCAATTAGTAATGTAGAAACGGGGGTGTTGCATTTCATTTGTCACCGAGAAACAAGTATTTAATCATTACTTTAATTGCAGAGTGTATGGAAAAGTTCATGAGAGAAAAGTGTATAAATAAAGTTTTGTTCTAGATCATTTTATCCCACCCTATACCCTTCACACGTTGTTCGAAAATGGACTTCCTGTGTGATCATAATAAATATTCATCCAGGATATTTGACAGTAAGTGGTATCTTCAAGATTTTGGGGTCAACCTGAAAGATTAGAGAGACCGAAGCTGTTGTGCACAGCTAGGAATTAACCTAGTGTTCACAAATAAATACTTCTTGCAAGTGCTAGGTTGTGGTAACTCAATTTCCTTCCGAATTAAGTAAATAATCTTTACAGCAATAAATATGAATTCTTAGATTTTTTGTTCCATTTGACCGAATGAAGAATATTAACAGGTGCAAGACTGATGAATCTGGCATTGCTTGTCATTAAGAAATACTGTTTAATTCACGCTTGTTGGGCAAAGCCTCAGAGCAGTACCTACTGCATCGTTCTTAGTCTAACATTTTAAACTCGTACATGGGCTCAAACACCATCCAAATAAAAGATAGGAGTTACCGAGGGGATTTCTTAGCTCCCACATTACTCAGTACATTTTATTATTCAATCAAAAGAGACAATTAAAAAGTAAAGAAAGCTTTGCAAATCAGGCTTATCCAGCCACAAACTGAACACGTTCGGGCACACGGCGCTTGGACACGAGAAAGACTGGTGACATGAGAGCAGCTTAGAGGAACTCATAAAACTGTCGGACTGAACGAATGATTTCTTATAAATTTAACTGCAGATTTGACCTTTTGTATTCTCCATATAAATAGAAACCCAACCTAAACTGAACTGACTCTGTCAGTGTTCCCTTAACCCTCCTTTTGCTGTAACCGTCAAAAACAGTAAAAATTCCTTCCACATCTCCCTGTACAGTACATGGACATATCATATGTCACTTGAGTGATTTTGACTGATAGGACGACTGTATCAAGAATGCATCTTTGCGTTGGAGGGTTAAGAAAAAAAATCACCTTAACTCAACTGGAAGATGATGGTCAGAAAGACCTGTACACCTTTTGCTGCAAAACAAATAATCTACATTTCTACGGGGGAGAGATGGGACTACAGGTATTGTATTCTGATTATGTAACAAGAATATTTAAATTTGACAAGAATGAAGTCGATTTCTGACCAGAATACATGCAGTCAAATTTTGGCGCATACCGAGGTAAGAACACAATCCCTCCCCCACCCAAACAAAACAGAAAGATTGGCACAGCCTACCTTTGTATATTAATGGCTATTCTTTGATGAAAATAAGCATGCTAAGATATTCCATATAAAACTCCAAATATACACAGGTTTTAAAGTACAATGCACAGTTCTCGTTTGACAGGCCGCAATCCGGCTTGAGTAGAAGCATCCCCCTCATCGGTTGAAAAGAGCCATACTGATCGGGAGTGTTCATCTTGTTGGTAGTGATGCGACCACAATGCATGCATTTCCTAGTCGTTCGTGAACCAGGGAAGTTCAGTTCTGACCAAAGGAGCCTCCGTTGCTAAGAAAAACTGCATGCTCTCTTTGGTCCAGCTCAAGGCTCATACAGCAAAGCCACTTAAATAGCCTAAATTTATCCATCTCTTGGGGACTTGTTACTTTGTGTCGTCCCTGACCTTACCATGAATAACCCCATCCATATTTACATTTGTACATTTTGTTCTTAAATAACTTTCAAATTGGAGAGCTTCTATTCAGCGGTTTAACATTCAGCTTGCACATTTTATTCACCCCCAAGTGTCTTGTCATGAGCTCAGAAACAACATAATTGATGTGAACACTGAATGCGTGTACTCAAAAGTAGCATTGGACACTGTCATTTATGGCTTAGACACCGGGCATGCAGAATTTTGCTTTTATCTTCATAAAACGCTACACAACAATGACCAATGAATGACGAGACTGGCTCAACAATATCACTGCCGCCACTCATTCTTGCACTTCTGGGCATTCGTGGAATTTGGGTCACGTTTTGTGATGATTGGACACATCTATGGTATAAAGAGGTCTCTCTGGGTACATTTTAAGTTTCTTATTTTAGAATGCTTCAACACATTCTGTAATTATTCACCACAATATCTTTAAGACAAACTGGTTGCACAGGTAACAAGGACAACACACACTCTTCTTGTAAATTCTGGTGTTAATGCGGATTTTTTGACAACTGTTTCATGACAAAGCAAATAGCATAATAGTATATGACCGAACCTTACTCTGCGCAGGTCTGTGGGTCAATCAGGGTAACTATTCAAAGGTGAAATCAAACGATTTGAACAACACTCCCTGCCTGTCTCTCGGTGTCTGTCTTGGGTTTGGCCCCTATTGCTGCATTCATGACCGTCGCACCCTCGACCCCAGTAGGGTTACTGTCCCCCTAACTGGTGCCCTTGCCCCCATCGGTGTCGCATCCCAGCAGGTTGGTCATTGTTCTCATCCCGAGGGCGCCGGCTCGCGGGCGGCACACCGAATCCGCTCACTCCACCTTGGCGATTGGGAAAGTACTTGTATCTAATGTTAAAGAAGCATGAAGCAGCATTGCAAGGCTTGTCACTGTTGGAACCTGTTGGAATCACATGTTGCTTGCATAATGTGGGCAATTTGGCCAAGCTTTCATTTACTAGAAATGTACTCACAGAATTTCAGGCGTTTTAAGGAAGGCACGACCACCAAAGTCTTGTGGATACTTGAACATCAGAAAGAAGTACAGGTGGCCGACTACAATGCCGAGAAGCTCCGACAGGCCACTGAATAAAGAGAACAGTTTAATGTACCATCACTGGTATATTCCAAACAGCTTTATCGAACGAAACTGACATATGCAAGCAGATAAGTTAATCATCTTCGTCAAATGTTGATGCCTGACTCTAATCCTTTAAAACCCATCTAAATCCAAATCCTGGTTCTGTTAGAATTTGATGGATTTAGGACTGCAGCACCCTGGCACTGTGGCATTACATGGGATTTGATGCCGATGCAATCGATATGCCACTGGGTAAAAATGTTAGGTTTGGGCAGAATCGCTTTTGATTCCACCAGCTCCCAATGGAGGACATTCAAACACGACCCGACAATTTACGTTCACAGGGACAGCTGACGAAACTGTATAGTGTTCTTATAGTCTCTGTCTCCGAAGACATGCACGTCACTTTGTGCACCTGTGCACATGGCTGACACGTTGGAACTTGAGCTTTACCACTGAGATTAACTTCTTGTAGCAAATGTCACTCTGTGGCAGGGCCTCACAGCGTGGCAGAATATGCCGTTCAGTACAGAAAATACTGTCCAAATGAGTCTCCAAAGTCAGCATCTCTGGTGTTTGGCTTTGTTCGGAAAGCGGGCTGGTGCATCTTGCCCTATGGAAAAAACATCAGGTTAACCGCCATCTTCCGAGGGGTTCACTAGCTATTTGTTGACTTACGCTCCTCTGATGATCATGTTGAAGGCCACCAGGACCCAGGGTAGATACATGGCCTTGAACTGCGTGCCAAACCAGAACTGTACAATGGTGTCACGGTTCAGCTGACACCACACGTACAGCACGCTCAACACCATCGGATCCATCAGTAGCTGAGAAGAAAAAAACATCCCAGGAGTCGTGAAATCTATGAGCGAGAAATGATCCATGAGAATTTCAACAGATTTTTTTTCTTGCCAAAAAAAAAATATATAAAAAGATGGCAAGCACTGTCATGAACTAATTCTGAATTTTAGAAATTGGTTAAATAACCACAGTAGTCTCTCCAGGGATTTCCATGGTTGTTCACAGAATGCATCACGAGAAAAAGCATTTGTAATGGTCTGACCAACAAATGAAAGGATTTGTTCAAGGCT